CCTTTTAAACAAATAAATAAATCTTTTTAAAAAATTAGTTGCTCAATACAGTTGATGAGCAATAGTAAGATGGCAACAGTGTGTGAGAAACCAACGTAGGGTGATGACATGGGAGAAAAAAGCTAGAAAGAATCAAAAGCCCAGTTCGATCAGTGATGTTTAGGTTTTTAAAACCAATTACATGAGGCTGGCACTGTGGCCTAGTGGGTAAAGCCACTCCCTGCAGTCCCCGCATCCCATATGGGAGTCTGTTCAAGTCCTGGCTGCTCCACTTCCCATCCAGCTTCTGCTATGGCCTGGGAAAGCAGTAAAAAGATGGCCCAAGTCCTTGGGCCCCTGCACCCTCATGGGAAGACCTGGAGGAAGCTCCTGGCTCCCCTGGCTTCAGGCTGGCACACCTCCAGCTGTTGTGGCCAATTGGGGAGTGAACCAGCGGAAGGAAGACCTCTCTCTCTCTCTCTCTCTCTCTCTCTCGGCCTCTCCTCTCTCTGTGTAACTCTGACTTTCAAATAAATAAAATAAATCTAAAACAAAACAAAACAATTACAGGCCTGGTGGTTAAAATTCTGATTAGGGTGCCCAAGTTCAAGTCCTGGCTCTGTTCCCAATTCCAGCTTCCTGCTAATGCACACCCCAGGAGGCAGCAGTGATGGCTCAAGTAGCTGAATTCTTGTTACCCAGATGGGAAACCTAGACTGACTTCCTGGCCCCTGGCTTCCACATCAGGCAAGAGATGATGTAGACATTTTGGGGATCGAACCAGTGGATGGATGGGAGTTCTCTCTCCCTCTGCCTCTCTCTATCGCAAACAAATAAAATAGATTAATAAAACCAATCACCCACCACTAAAGCTCTCATATCTAAAGCAGGGCATGACAAACAGTTTTCATTTTGCATTTCTGAAATTTTTGAGTTGCTTTTTCCTCCCTATTGAAATGATTGCTTGATAGAGAGAGTCTGTGTGATGCAGGCGATTCCTGAGCTACTTTCAGGAGAAGCCCTCGCTGTCCCCCCTTCCCCGACATCACTCATGCTGTGCTTTTGGCCTGGAATGCCTTTCTCCATCCCTCTTCTCCAAGGCCCTCTCCATCCTTCAGTGACACATCACAGACCCCAGCGCCTTTCTGGGGCTCCTCCGTACAACTCCTCCATCGTTTCCAGTCAGCTACTCAGGTTCCATCATAGAGGATGCGTGTGTTTCTCCAGCAGATTCTAAGCTCCTTGGGGATAAAGCTCAGCTCTTATTTTGTGTGCCTTAAAATATCTAATATGCTTGAACACAAAGAAGCAGGGGAACAGAAAGGCCAGTTATCCTGAGTTGATATGGCATGTTGAATATTTGCATTGAATGATCACATAGTTCCCCATGAATATGTACAGCTTTTATGTGTCAGCTAAAAATTTAAAAACACTTGATATGATACTTACTTTTTTAAAAAGATTTATTTATTTGAAAGGCAGAGTTACAGAGAGGCAGAGAGAGAGAGAGATTTTCCATGCGCTTGTTCACTCCCCAGATGGCCGCAATGGCTGGAGCTGCTCCAATCTGAATCTGAAGCCAGGAGCCAGGAGTTTCCTCCAGGTCTCCCATGCAGGTGCAGGGGCCCAAGGACTTAGGCCATCTTCTACTGCTTTCCCAGGCCACAGCGGAGAGCTGGATAGGAAGTAGAGCAGGTGGGACTCGAATCGGAGTCCACGTGGGATGCCAGCACCGCAGGTGGTGGCTTTACCAGCTGCACCACAGTGCTGGCCCCATATGATACTTTCGACACTGTAATCATTCAGTGAGGGAAAGGAGCCAAGGTGGTGGTGCAGCAGGTTAAGCCTCCACCTGTGATGCCAGCATCCCCATATGAGTGTTGGCTCAAGTCCTGCCTGCTGCACGCTAATGTGCATGGGAAAGCAGCAGAAGATGGCCCAAGTGTCTGGGCTCCTGAACCCATGTGGGAGAGCCAGAAGTGAATGAGTGGACAGAAGATCTCTTTCTCTCTCTTTCTCACTCTCTCTCTGTGACTTTACCTTTCAAACAGAATAAACAAATACATGAATTGAAGGAAGGAAAGCAGGGGAATGAAAGTAGAGTTGCCCCTTGCATCTGAGGGGTTTGGTTCCAAGATCTCTGTAGATACTAAAATCCCTAATATAAAATGTCATAGTAATTGTGTAAAACCTACACATATTTTTCTGACACTTCAGATCCCTCTGGATTGCTTGTAATACTTAATACAATGTAAATGCTGGGTTTATAGTTGTGTGTCATTTAGGAAATCATGATGAGAGGAAAAGGTCTGTGTATAATCAGCACAGACACAGCCACCATTGGCCCATCTACATCTTCAACCAACCCCAGGTCTGTTGACCCTCAGGATGCAGAAGCCACGCCCATAGAGGACTGTGCGTGGTATCAGAAATTGGGACATTCAGTCCTAAACGGGGCTCTTAGGATTGACCGCATGGAACTTCCCGGATAACACTATTGTGCTTGCTTTTATGTTAATGTTTATTTTGACATGGAGAAACCTTTCTTCCCACCTGTCTTAGTCTGTTTTCTGTTGCTGTGGCTGAGAAGTGCAGACTGGATGGTTACCAAGAATAAAAGCAGCTCCTGGTCATGGAGACTGGGAGGTCCAAGGTGGAGAGGCAGCGTCTGGCACTGTCGTCTCACTGGGAAGGACCTTGCCCGAGGCGGGGAAGGGCACTACACGGCAGGGGGTGCTTTACACAGAGGGAGCCACTCTGGAGACGACCGCTAATCCACTAATCCATAAATGGATTCACCCACTCACCAGGGCAGATCTCTCACGACCTAGTCACCTCTTAAAGGCCACGCCTCTTAGTATCTCACAATGGGGATTACATTTCAGCAGGAGTTGTGGTGGGAACATTCAATCCATAGCACCAGCTAAGCCCCAAAATAAATGTCACAGTTTGAAATGTGAAGGCTTATTTTCTCAAAGCAAAAGTCATTACGTTGTTAAAGCTTTATTGTCACATAGGATGGCAAATTGTTTTATGTAGAAATCCTATCTTTGAGATGCAGTGTGATCCCAGCTATGGGAAAAAAAATCCGCTTGTACATAGACAAAATAGCAAGAAGGAAATTTACCAAACTGTACCCATCTTTGTGCCATAAAAACAACAACAACAAAACAAAAAACAAAAAACCTGTTCAAAATATCTTTAGCATGAATTAGGACTTTTTTCAAAAAAAGATTTTTTTTTTTGAAAGCAGAGTTTACAGAGAAAGAGGGAGAGACAGAGAGATCTTTCATCCCCAAATGGCCACACTGGCCAGCACTGGGCCAGGTCAAAGCCAGGAGCCAGGAGCTTCTTCCAGGTCTCCCAAGTGGGTACAGGGGCCGAAGCACTTGGGCCATCTCTTGCTGCTTTCCCAGGCCATTAGCAGGGAGCTGGATTGGAAGCAGAGCAGACGGCACTTGAACCGGTACCCTTATGGGATGCCAGTGCCGCACCTACTATGCCAAATTGGGACTTTTATAACTAAAAACTATTTTTAAATATTCTGCCTTCATCAAAAGAGTATGTATCTCTACTATGAGAGATTCTTGGCAGCAGTAACCAGTTATTTTTCTGAGCCAAAGCACGGCAACTTGGACAAAACAAAGCCCCCGGGTGCTCAGTAAAAGCTTGGTGATGAGTTTAATGTGCCTGATCCAGGGCTATCTCCCCAGTACACACAGTAAAGAAAGCAGGGGAAAGCAGAAAGCTTGGGTTACAATGGGTATGGGAATTGGTGATGAACCACTCAGGGATTCAGGCACTTTTACATACCTTTGATAATGATCTGTAAACACGTCAACAGCTTTGCTTTCCGTGTAGCACTTACTCTTTGGAGGACAAAGTCCTCCTCCAGGGGTGTTGGATACAAACTTCTGCTTCTCACTTCAAACTGTGCTTGTGAACCAGTGGATGGAGGACCTCTTTGTTTCTCTGCCTCTGCCTCTCTGTAATTCTACCTTTCAAATAAATAAATCTTTTTTTGAAAAAAATATTTATTTGAAAGGTGGATTTACAGGAAGAAAGAGGGGGAGGAAGAGGGAGGGGGAGAGAGAGAAAGATAGAGATCTTCCATCTATTGGTTTACTCCCCAAATGGCTATAACGGCCAGGGCTGGGCCATGGGCCAGTCTGAATTCAGGAGCCTGGAACTCCACCCTGGTCCCCCACATGGGTGCCAGGAGCACAACTACTTGGACTATCTTTTGCTGCTTTCCCAGGCACATTAGCAGAGAACTGGATTGGAATGGAGCAGTGGGGACTTGAACTGACATTCAAAAGGGATGCCGCTGTCATAGGCAGTGGCTTAACCTGCTGCACCACAACACCAGTCTCCTTTCACTTGCTTTTTTAAAAAAAATTTCCCCCTCCCTTATTAAAAACATCTTCACACCCACTGTGTGAGGACATTTTTGATTCAGTAAAACATATAAAAGGAAAGCACCTTTCATCATCTCTCTGCTCTTAGACAATCACTATTTCTTATATTTCCATCCATCTTTTAAAAACCGGTCTCTCTGAGTAAACAGCATTTTTCATACTGTTTAGGTATCCTGCCTCCACCCTAGTTAACATCACATCACAGGCATTCACTCCTTGTCATTGGAAAGGCGGTCCATTTCATTTTCAGTGGACAGCTTTGCAATTCTCCATTGGTATGTGCCTTGTTTTCCTTGAAAATGGCAAAGCTCTCAGGGTCCTAAAGGGCTGTGGAAAGCCTTGTCCATGACATTCACATGGCAGCTCTGCTCCTTACTCATCCCAACCCAGTGCAGGCACCGGGCCGGGCCAGGCTGAGCTGAGAATGGACAGGGTCCCAGAACTTGAAGTGACCAAGGCACAAGACGACAGACTCAAACCTGGCTTCGCCTTCCCATGCCCTGGGAGTCTTTCCAGCTTCAAAAGGAGGCCACGGAAACAAATCCCTCAGCAAAAATTCTTAAGGCTTAATTAAGGCAGAAGCTCGTTTCCTTAAGCTAAAATGCACCCAGAACAACGGGAAACTTGAGAGGAGAGACGCTGGGAGGAGGAGGAAGTGGCGGCCCCGCCCGGCTCCGGGATGGAAGGAAGGTTCTAGTAGGCTGACTGTGAATGCTCGGAGAGGCAATTAGGTCTGGAACCTCAATGCTGACTAGTGAGGGCCTTGGGCTGCCAGCAGAAGGCGGAAGATGGATCAGGGTGAGTACCGCGAACCTACTTATTTAACTCTTGTGAGGACTAAGCCAGGAGGGGGGAGAGTCCTGGCGAGGGCAGGGGGCAAGCAGAGGAGACAGGAGACCCTGACCTGATGGCTGACCGCTTACTGCATCATCTGGCTTCTCCCCCATTTCTCCACTTTCATCAAACCTTGGGGCACAAATCACACATTCATTTTCTTCCCTGACACCATGAACAATCTTCAACTTTGGGACTAGAATGGCTTTGGGCAGTCCCAGGTGTGTGGGGGGCATTGTTGTAGCCAAGCCTGGCGCTGTGGGGGGATGTCATGCAGATCTTAGCTCTCCTCTTGTCCAACTTCTCCTCTGGCTCAGAGTTCCCCACTGAGAGCTGCTGTTCCCACCCCTGAGCTCAGGCCCTTGTCGGACCTCCTCAGAGTCCCTTCTGTCCCATCTGCGAGCAAGGACAGGGCCCCTGCAGGCTGCGCCAGCCAGGCAGGAACAGCGAGCCTGCCAGGAGAGGGCGCCACACGTGCATTATTTATTTCTTTAAATCATGTATCATACATTCTACTAGAGATTGGGGATGTAAATGGTTTGTAACTTATAAGCCAGAGTTTAATTGAGAAGAATCAGGAACCTTGCTCATGTGCCAGATTCCAGGGTATTTTTGTGCTTTTTTCATCAGTTGTCCCCAAATGCAATCAGCTTAAAATGTAACATTATCTTTTAAAATGGTATAGTTTAACTAAACATGTAATACACAATAATATATGCTTATTATAAAAAGGAAAAAGCTCAAGTTTTCCTTTATATATATACAAGAGCACTTCAAAAAGTTCATGGGAGGGGCTGGCACTATGGCACAGTGGGTTAAAGTCCCAGACTGTAGTGCCGGCATCCCATGTGGGTGCCAGTTTGAGTCCCAGATGCTCCACTTCTGATCTTCCCTGCTGATGCACCTGGGAAGGCAGTGGAGCATGAACGGCCCAGGTGCTTAGGCCTCTGCACCCACATGGGGGACCCAGAGGAAGTTCCTGGCTCCTGGCTTCAACCTGGCCCAGCCCCAATCGTTGCAGCCATCTGGGGAGTAGACCACCAGATAGAAATCCCCCTCTCTCTGCCATCTGCCTTTCAAATAAATAAGTCTTTTAAAAAATGGAGAAGGTCTATATTTTGATGCAAATAATTTTGAGGCTCATGCATGGATATGTATTTTTCATGAACTTTCTGAAGTCATCCATTGTACATGGTTTTCAATTTTTTTTGCTGTAAAAAAGTTACCTTTTAATCTTATTTTCTACAAATGTTTTGAACCTAATAGTAGCTTATATAAAATAGCTTCACAAAAATGAGATGATAGATCAGGTATTACTTGGTGATTTGCTTTTTATACAATTTAATCATGTATTGTAAATCTTCATATGTCAGGGTATACTGGTCTAACAAAAACTCATAATGACTTACAGTTTTCCATCCTAGGCACACAAGCATAATTTATTTAATAAATTGATTAATCTAGTTTGTTACTATCCCTTATTGATGGCATTTATATTGTTTCCAATAAGCAATGTTTCAGTGGATATCCCTGTTGATATAACTTCGCATACATGCGCAATTTTTTTTATATGGAAGATTTCTAAAAGAACAACTGTTGGATCTGTTGATCCTTAAGAGAGATGGAGGCACAAATGGAGTAAGGAACGAAAGAGTTCATTTGCATTGGCTGTGAGCTGCAGCCCAGGAAACACAAATCGAGGAGCATTGAATTTGCACTCCAAGGTCTCACAGATTTTAAACCTATTTTTTTAAAAAGATTTTTGTTGATTTATTTGAGAGGGAGAGACAGAGAGAGAGGTCTTCTATCTGCTGGTTCACTTCCTAAATGACCACAATGGCCAGAGCTATGGCCACAACAGCCAGAGCTGGGCCAGATCTGAAGCCACGAGCTTCTTCCAGTTTTCCCACGTGGGTGCAGGGGCTCAAGGACTTGGGCCATCTTCCCTTGCTTTCACAGGCCATAAGCAGAAGCATCCAGGACACAAAACGGCACCTACGTGTGATGCCAGCATTGCAGGCAGAGGCTTGACTTACCATGCCACAGCACCAGCCTCTCAACTGTTTTAAAGGCAAAGATTGGGACAAAGAAAGGTGTTTGGCCCAGCAGTTAAGTCACCACTTGAGATCCCCGCATCCCATATCAGAGTGCCTGATTTGAGTTCCGGCCAGCCTCCTGCGAATGCACATCCTGGGAAAGCAGCTGATGATGGCCCACGCGCTTGGGTCGCTGCCACCCATGTGGGACATCTGGATGGAGTTCCAAACTCTCAGCTTCAGTCTGGCTTAGCCCTGGCTGTTGCTGGGGAGTGAATCAGAGAATTAAAGTCAATCTCTCAGATAAAATGAAAATAAATGCTTTTAAAGACAAAAATTCTAAGTGGGGAGGGGGATTGTGGCAGTTGTTTGCTGAGAATTTGGATTGATGCAGGCAGGGTGGGATACTGTCTTATAAGTAAGGGATCAGATAACCAAGGAAAGCATTAACCGCAGGTTTCAGAAAGGAAAGTGGGAAAGGGACAAAACAGGCCGGCGCTGTGGCTCAACAGGCTAATCCTCCGCCTTGCAGAGCCGACACACCTGGTTCTAGCCCCGGTCGGGGCGCCGGATTCTGTTCCGGTTGCCCCTCTTCCAGGCCAGCTCTCTGCTGTGGCCAGGGAGTGCAGTGGAGGATGGCCCAAGTGCTTGGGCCCTGCACCCCATGGGAGACCAGGAGAAGCACCTGCCATCTGATCAGCCGCAGTGCGCCGGCCGCAGCGCGCCGGCCGTGGCTGCCATTGGAGGGTGAACCAATGGCAAAGGAAGACCTTTCTCTCTGTCTCTCTCTTTCACTGTCCACTCTGCCTGTCAAAAAAAAAAAAAAAAAGAATATTCTATTTCGATGAAAACCATGGCTCTTAGTACACAAATAACAGAGTAGAGAGTCGGGGACCAGGCGGGGAAAGAGTGTCCATCTACGCAGGGTCAGAACTGCTCTGAGGCATACATGGCAGGAGTCTCCCATGTCCTCTGCCCTCAACTTTTAGAGGTACCAGAGCCTGTTTTGTCTTTTGATTTTTAATGATTTTTTTTTTAGAACTAAGGCAATATCCACTTTAAGTTTTGATGACTATTAACTAATTTTCTCTGAAAAATCTGTGAATTTATACTTCTACCATCAGTATATGCCATGGCCCATTTCCACATACAATCAACAAAAGGAGGTCATTGTTACTTTTTTTTTTTAAATATATACTTATTTATTTAATTATTTGAAAGGCAGAGAGACATAGAGAGAGGGAGAAACACTGAGAGATCTTCCTTCTGTTGGTTCTTTCCCCCAAAAAGCTGTAACAGGCAGGGCTGGGCCAGGCTGGTGCCAGGAGTAAAGAACTCTACCTTGGTCTCCCGACTGGGTGGCAGGGACCCACGTACTCAGAGAATGATCAGCTGCTCTCCCATGCTCATTAGCAGTGAGCTGGATTGGAAGCAGGCAGCCCAGACAAACTGGACCTCCTATGAGGGATGTTGGCAAGGCAAGTGGAGGCTTAATCCACTGTACCACAATGCCAGCCCCATTGTTACTTTTTAAATATTTGGGAATGGATCAAAGATGGATCTCATTATTGCTTTAGTCAGCATTCCTGTGATTCCAGCAAGACTATCTTCTTAATATTTATCACTGCTTTGATGTATTATGAGCAGCAATCCTCTGCTGCAGCTGAGGCAAAGGAGCTGCTGATTTGAACTGTTAGCCAGCCAGGGAGCTCCTGTCTCCTGCCAGTAGCTGCTGGACAAGCTGGGCACCATTGTGTAGTTCATTGTGTGTACACCACTAAATGAAAATACCATTGCAAAGTTCATTGTGTATACACCACTAAATGAAAATAATGTCTCCAGGAAACAGCACAATAGTAAGTGAGCAACTGAAAAATCAGTGCTTTGGAGTGAAAGGCAGACCAGGGAGGGTCCTGGAGCTGGTTCTGTCCTGATCTGCTGCACTGACCTGTGGACTTCTGCCCTAAATGGCATTTGGGGTTGAGGAGGCTGAGATGGAGCTGTGATTTCCGCTGTATTCTTGGGACCCTCAGAGCTCTAAAGAGCAGCCTAGGAGACCCCTGCCCAGTTCTTCCACCACAGTGGCTCCTCTTAGGTCTGCCTGTTATGCTTTCATTAGCAGAAGGCCCAGTGGTCACTAACTTGGGGAAAAAAAGTGTGAAGACTTCCAGACCAGTGCCACAGGTCAGAGGTTTGGAGCTGGGCTCTGTAGTCAAACTGTTTAGGTGTAATGCCCATTTCCTCACTCCCTAGGGAAGTGACACTGAGTAAGTGATTAACCTCATTGATCATTTTTCTACTCATCTATAACTTGGAGTTGATGATATCTTAACGGGTAGTTGCAGGGATAGAAGAAGGTAATGCATATGGAATCTTAATAACGTTCAGTAAATATTAGCCAGATATAAATATATGATTGCAGGTGCTAAGAAATCCCCCGTTCTGAAATGCTTGGGAAGGACTTCACGGAGGAGGTGGATGTTGAGTTTTCCTTGATAAACAGGTACAATGGCAACACAAGAAGATTAGCGAAGGGACAGGGACTTCAGACTTTGGAGCTGGGTAGGATCTATTTGGAGGCTACTTGGGAGGGGGTTTCAAGCAATTCATAGAAAATGGAATTAAACAATGTTTATTTTAGTGCAAATAATTTTTGAAATCCATGCATAGTTTTGTTCATCACACACATTTCTCATGAGTTTCTTGAAGACTCTTTGTATTTATGTGCTACCGGGAGAGAGAACTGACTGGATATGTTGGGACCACACTGTAGTGGGCTTTGGGTCCTAGGCTAAAGAATATGGAGTTGAATGTTTAAGTAATACAATATTTTTATTCTTGCACACTTACAAAGGCACAGAACCTAGCAATCTCACCATATAGGCATCTCCTCAAATGCTTTCACACAGATACACCCTTTCACATGTT